GTCCCTTCTAGGCAACCCCTTGGCTCCATGTCATGCTGCTGCCAGGGCTCTTCCAACCAGACTCTGCCACATTTCATGAAGGAATTGCCTGTGCGGGCAGTCAGTAGGAGTCCTGACTTCTCAGCTCCTGGAGATCTGGCTTCATCCTGACCAGGCTTCATGGAGGCCACTCTCTCGAGGTCCTCCTCAGGATCTGCCTCGGTCTGTGCCTTCCTTCAACTCGCCATCAGTTAAGTATGTGGACATTCCTACCTGAAGCACTCATCTCTTGTCCTCTGGGATTCCATGGTCTCACTTCTTGTGTTAGTGTGCTAGGGCTGCCGTAACAAAGCTCCACAGACTGGGTGGCTTAGACAGCCGAGAATCAGGGGTTGGTGGTTAGGTTTCTTCTGAGGCCTCTCTCCTTGGCCTGTGGATGGTGCCTTCACGTTCACATGGCCATATTCTCTAGTGGCTGGGGCCTAGTCTCCTCTTCTTATAAGGACTTAATTACCACTTTAAAGACCTCACCTCCAGATACAGTCTCATTCTGAGGTACGGGACATTGGGACTTCGGCATATGAATTTAGGGAGGACACAGTTTGGCCCCAACACTTCCCTGTGGCTGAGTTTCCATGGCAGTCCTGCCTCTGCCTAGGCCTCAGCAGCAGAGGTTCCTCAGGGCTCCATCCTAGCCTTCCTCTTCACATTCCGCCTACTCCACCTGATGACCACCTCTGTTCCTGTAGCTCTCTATACATGAATGATACACATATCTGTATTTCCAATCCCTACCTGTCTACTGAGCTCCAGACAAGCACACTGGATGAGCTCCTGAAATCTCCACTTGCTTATCTCCCAGGAACCTCTACTAACCTGGAAATCAGAACGCACCCCCTTCACTGCAGGTGTGTTCTTCCTTCTCTGTTCCTCAGCTCAGAAATGGCCCCACCATCCCCTCTGTTGTCCAAGTCAGGAAGCTGGGGTATCTTTGACTTGTCTCTGCCACCCTCCCCAGAATGAGTCACAGAGAGCTGCGTGGTCCTGAATCACTTCATTTCTCTCCATATCCTTCCCCACGGGGAGGTGGCCTAGGCCCCGTCTTCCCCCACCATGACTGCCACAGTGGGCCTTTACCTGGGCTCCCCAGCTGCCTCACCTGTATCCACTCTGCCTTCTATTCTGTGGTCAGATGAATCCACTCCCCACTCAGGGCCTCCAGAAGTTCCCAGCTGGCCTGAGCAGCCAGTCACATCACCACTCCTCCCCCTCCACGGTCTTGCTGTCTATCCTCCAACCTTGAGCTGCTGGCTGTTCACCCTGGAGGGAGTCAGGGCCTTCCTGCGCTGTCCCTCCCTCTGCCATGCTTACAGATGAAGTGGAGGAAAACCAGCACCAGTGGCCGGGGACTGACAGCAGCCTCCTTCCCTCACTTCCTTGTGGATTTGCATGGGGTCTTCCAGGAGAGGGTCTGGTGCCCGTCTGTCTGTCTGTCCCATTTCCCCATCTTCTATGTCTCCCTTTTGTTCCCCTCTCTTCCTCTCTCCACCCCTCCATAACGCCCAGGGACCTGGGGTGGGGCTCTACACTCTTGCTGTGGCACAGGAGGTGTCACAAGGAAGGAAGCTCTGGTCTCAGACAAGGCTGCCAGCAGCTGCCTCGGTGGGGGTTGGAGAGTGAACACTTATGGGCCATTGCCCTGAGAGACACCTAATACTGCAGGGGAGGGTGGGGATGTGGGGGTGAGCCTTGGGGGAGGTGGCTGCGATGTTCCTGTTTGGGGAGCTTGTCAGTGGCAGGGGGAGGGGCCAGATGGCAGGAGCAGCAGCAGCTCTAGGGAAACCAGGAAGGCTTCATTCTGATGAGGCCAGGTCCCTGGGGCACTGCGAAAGGGTCACTCATCACTGCCCTCATCTCCTCACATTCTGGCTCTTTCTCTAACCGTCACCCGAGTGGGAGGAGGGAGGCCCTATGGGCCAGGCAGGAGAGGGTGGGGGGCAGGGGAGGCCACATTCCTGGAGCGTTAATGATCTCTGGGCTGGGCAGGAGCTGAGCCCCCAAACCGGCTAAAAACAACAAACAGCTCCAGGAGGGATTTGTGTCTGTCCTGAGAGTCAAGGATTTCCGCCCGGATGGGGGCTGTGGCCTGTGGGGGCTCTTAGCAAAGAAATTCCCCAGAGACCAGAAGCCCCCTGACCCAGAGGTATCACTTTGAGAACAGACCCCTCCCCCATCCCTTTCTTTGCTCCTACTCTTCCAGGGAGGCTGGTGCCCGGAGGAGAGGCAGCTCTTCCCACACACCTGGGAGGTGTGAGAGGAGAATCTGGGTGAGTTTCTCATCTGGTCTCTCCAACCTTCCAACAGTCCAGTGAGTTATACTGTTCTTGGTATTTTATAGATCAGGTCACCAAAGCTCAGTTAGAAAAGTGTCTGACACAGAGAAAATGCTTTGCCTGAATGAATGAGTGAATCAAGGAAGTCACTGGCTAGAAGTCAGTCATGCTAGACCAAATTGGGGGGAACCAGAGTCTGCCTGACCTCAACCATGATGTCACTCCCCAGTTCCTTCTCTCTGCAGGAGAGGACTCAGGAACTCTGGAGGGCCTACTTGGAAGAGGAGGAGCCAGGGCTATCAGGAAGGGGCCAAATCCTGGCCCCAGGGGAGGGTGGAGGAATTAGGAAGGGGCAGGGTTCCCAGGTTTGGTACCACGCACTCTGCAGACATTAAGCACCTTTTTACTTGGCTCAAACCTTTCCTCCCTAGGAGGTCTCTTGGGGCCCCAGGCGGTTCGGAAATGACATCTTCCCTCCTCCAAGCCCCATGGACCAAAATTCCTTAGTTAGCCAACTTCCTTGAGGTGGGTCCCGATAACGGCCCTGTAAGGGAGCCCTTCTGCGAGTTCCAGCCTGCCCCCTTTGCCCTCACTGGGTCTTCATCCTTTCATCCTTTCCTCTCCACTTCCTTCTGGGCCTCCTAGCTGGCCTGGCCCACCTCGGGGGCCTTCTCCACTGTGCTTCTGTACCCCCACCTCTCCCACCCACAATTCACAAAGCCATGCCCCAGTGCTTTAAATCATCATTTATTGCCCGCAGTTCATTAGTATTACATAAATCACGGAGATTGAGAAATTTTCTGAGAAGGATAAAAAAACACCACAAAGTCCCCTGGGAATGGCCAAGACATGTGTGCTGGGGCCTCACTCACACTGGTCCAAGGCAGGAAGACCACCTTGGATGTGTCCCCTAGCCTTTCTCCTCCTCAGCCCCTGCCCTTCCCCAGGTCAGCAGCCCAGAACAGCAAACAAGCTGGCTCACAGTCAAGGTGTGGAAAGGGGTCTGTGGGCCAGCTTGACTTGGCAGACATCTCACAGGATTCTTGTCCCTGCACCCTCAGACTGCCTTCTGGAAATGGGAGAAGGGCATCCCTGAGCCTGAGGGAACGTCTGAAGTGACCAGAGGTGGGTCAGGCAGGGACACCAGGGCTGGAGAGCCATTGCAGGCGTGGCCTGTGTTCTGGCACAGCAGAGCCAGCGCTGTCCTGACTGTGGGTCCCAGCTCAGCCCCCGAGTCAAGAACAAATCTGCCCATCAGAACCTCCCTTCCTCCAGCCTAGGAGAGTGGGGCACGGGTGTTGGCTGTAAGTTTTCCTCCATGGGGCTTTCCAAAGCCAGGCCAGGGCTCAGCAGCATGGCCCACTGTCCCTCTGTCGCCATCACCCTGAGCTAGAGGGACGCTTTGCCACTGCACCCCTACAGGAATGGCCTCCGTGGCTCACCTGGAACAGCATTTGGGAGCATGGTGGAAATCATCTAGACAAAGCAAATAGATTTGAGATGCTGGGGACAGGGCTGGGGCAGGGGTCGGGCTGGGCCAGGGCAGCGAGCACAGAGGGAGAGCCGGAAGGCCCCATCTCTGCCAGACCTCTGGAGGGGTAGGGTAGGGATGGGGGAAGCAGTTTTGGTCCTAAGATAAAGTGCACAAGAATAAGAACCTATGATAGGTGGGGGGCAGGGTGAGATTCAAGTGTGAACTTTTCAAAATAGGACCCCAGTTCAGGCCTAGAAACCAGGACAACCCGGCAGTCATTGGCACATTCACATTATGGTGAGACTGGCTCGAAAGTACCTGCCCTTCCAATACGCTGGCATCTCCAATACGCTGGCCCTGCAGTTTTGTCCTCCACACTTGTCTATGCCTCCTCCTCTGCCTGACAGACAGGGCAGGGGCTGCTCCTCAGGAGGGGGTAGGCCCTTCAGGGCAATATTCTTCAGAGCCAGCTGACAGGCACCAGGGGCTGGCTGGGAGGCAAAGGCATCAGGGCTTTGGGTGGGGGCATGATGTCGATGCCCACGGAAGACCTACCTCACCACGTTCTCTCTGCCCTACAATGCCAAGAGACCACCTATGTCACGCCCTGGCTGTCTGGCACTGGCCTTTTTCTGCCTGTGCATGTGTCCACCTCTGGGTCAAATGTCTCCCAAGGTGGACTCACTGGAGGAAGGTCCAGAGACTGAATGCTGAGGGCTTCCACTGCAGCTGGGGTCAGGCGAGGGTTTCACTGAGAACTGATCCCAACTTTGGGCCCTTCCTTTGGGCCTTTCAGATGAAGAGGTCCCCGGCTCACCCCAACCCCAGGCCCTACTTCCCTCTGTAGAGCTCCTTCTCCTTCCTGGCCCACAAACGGGAGGGTCAGGAACCAGCAGCAAGGGCCTCTGAGCAGGCATGAGAGGTGGCATGCAGGTGTGGACCTACAGTCAGGTCCTGGTGTCTGTTTGACCTCCCCCTCCAGAGCTGTAAAGTGTCTGGCAAAGGTCAAGTGCTCCTAGAATACAAGGTCACAGGCAGAAGGGCAAGGTCCAAGTTCTGAGGCCTACTGCTGGCCATCCCAAAGGGGCCTGGCCCTTTTCCAGTCCATTGTCCACATTGGGGACATGCCCAGGATGACCAGCATCTGAGCAAGGCAGGCAAAGATGAGGTCTAGCTGGAAGAGCCAGTGGAAACCCCTTGATTCAGTCTTCTGGTTCCAGACAGGAAGTGCAGGCTCAAAGAAGGGAGTGAACTTGTCCATGGTCGCACAGTTCATTAGTGCCAGAGCCTGGCCTGCTGTTCCTGAGTGGATGCTGCCTTTCTGATAAGTGCCTACAGACCTGGCCTGGACATTTTCAGGCATGAGACCTTCCTATTCAGGAAGGGGTGAGATGGCGCAGGCAGACTTGGGAGCTGGAGAGGCTCCTAGACAGCTGTCAGCCTAGCTCCAGCCCCACCCTCCACCCCAATGCCTAGCCTTGGCCCTGGAAGGAGGATCTTCTCAGAGGCCATGTGCAGGCCCATGGTTTCTGCCAAGTCCCATTCCTTCTTGGGGCTCCCTGCCTGGAGCTGGGGTCATCTCGGGACCCTTGGATCAGTCAGTGCTCCACAAAGGGTGACCCCAGTCCCAGCGTCACTGGGTTTCACTGAAAGGGAGTAGTTCTGCAGCTGTGGCAGGTATGACGACTGACCACGTTCAGTGGCCTCCAGTGCTCCTTGATTCCCTGGGCTACTTCCTGTGGACCTTAATCATAAGGGAGCCATCTGGCCTGGCCAGTGTAAGATACTAAGTCCACCAACCCAGACACCAAACTGACCCAGCTCCCAGACCTGCTCTCACTGCTACCACCGTCTACCTGCCACTTCTGATCAGCTGAAACCAAGGCTCAGATTGGATTCTGATAAAAAAATAAAAATAAAAAAGAAATCAAAGTATAAAAGAATTCTAATTCTACCCCGTGGGCACGCTACAATTTTTCAGCTTCACACATAATTGTGCTGAGTGGAGTTTTGGCAACCCCATGTAAGGCCCAGAAATGCACTTGATTATTTTTTTTACAGGAAATGTGTTAGAACTCCTCTTCCCTAAGTTAAAATGTGAATGGATCAGTCTCCCTACCACTGCGGGTTGAGCGTTCCCCCAAGTGGCCCAGGACTGGTGGGGTCGGCTTGCTTCCTCCCCCCGCAGGTGCAGCCACGAGTCTCCTTCCCTGCCCTCGACTCCCCGGCCTGAACAGTGCTCCGTCCCCAGGCCGGCTGGCCACCACTCACAGCCCCTTGTTGTACACCACCGTCCGGCTGCTCGTGGCCTGGGCAATCTCAGGCTCTAGCTGGGAGGTTTCAATCTGAGGAGAGAGAGAACAAAGAGAGGAAAAGTGGAGGTGTGGGAAGGGGCAAATGGGGGGGCTGGGAGCAGCAGCTAGGACAACCCCGGTGCCCACAGTTCTGCCTCCTGCACCCTCATCCCCCTTTAGGACCCATGTGCCCTGCCTAGTGACACGTCATCCTCCTTTGCTGTCCTCTCACCTCCTGCCATGGGGCTCACAGCCTCCCTTCTAGCACAGGCCTGGCCGCCTCCTCCTGACAGTGTGTCCAAGTGGGTGGCCATCCCACACTCTGGCCTGTGAGTTCTGCCTCTCCCTCATCCCCAGGGACCTTGCCCACCACACTGCAGGCAACACCTCCCAGGGCCATACCCCAAGCCGACAACCACCCTGGGCTGCCCCACCCTCTCGGATTCCTCAATTCCTTCTCCTTCCACTCACTCCTGCTCGGATCTGTTTTGAGGCCACTGAGACCTCAGGCCCAAGGTTCCCTGCCTGTTGGTTTTCACATCTTCCCTCTCGAGCCTGGATCCCCAGGGCCATCACTCCCGTGGTCCCCTAGCCACAGCCCTGCTTTGGAGAACCCAGCCACACAACCCCGTCTCTACACTTAAACCTGACCACTCAGAGACCACTCAAAATGCAGTCCCTGACTTCAGATGGAGCCTCACAGGAGCCGGCAAGCACTCCACTCCTGCCCCCAGTGCCCAGTCATCGCCCTCGCCCATTCCCCACAGAGGGCACCTGACACCTTCTCTGCTCTCCTTGGCCACCCTGCCTCCAGCTCTCACTCACCTTGAGCAGGTAAGTCTTCTTCCTACTCAAGGCATCAGAGGGAAGCCCTTCCGCTTCCATCAAATCACTGCCTGCCTGTGCCCACACGCGGCTCCGTGCCTGCCCTCCTGCTAACCCTACAGCGGCTGTCCCTCACCTTGCAAGGCAGGGTCCACCTGGCTCCACCTCCCCTGCCCACTCTGGAGCCATCTCTCGGATTGCCTTCCCTCACTCCCCCCTTTGCTATCTACTGACCCCTGTCCATCAGTGTTCAACACATTACAAGAACCTTTCCTCTGATGAAACCTCCCCTTCACCCCAAGTCACGCTCCAGCTACTGCCTGGTCTCTCTCTTCCCCAGCAGCCACATTTCTTTAAAGAACGGTCTACACTGGCTGTGTCCACCTCCTCGCCTCCCACTGACTTTCAACCCACAGCAAATCTGGCTTCTGTTCCCTCCCACCACACTCCACAAAAATCTTCCTCTCCGAGGTCACTGCCACCCCCATTTCACGACACCCACTGGACACTTTTTAGGGCCTGTGAGCCTCGGCCTGGCTGGCCGTCTTCTCTGCACATGCCCCGAGGAACTCCCACACCTGCGTGTCTTCGGTCATGTTTCTCCCTGGAAGCCCACAGCCACCTGCCTGGTGGACCTTCCACAGACGTCTCACCGCCACTTGAACTCAGCACGACTCTGATGGAGCCGAATTTGTCACTCACGCATCTTGGGGACAATATCCCATTCAGCAATGCCCTGGCCAAAGACCCGAAGCCTCTTCAGCTCCCCTTTCCTTCCGGCCCCTCCCAAGTCTCACCTGCCCAAACCACTCCTCACCACAGCCTTCTAAACCCCAAATCTGATGACGTCCCTCTTCGCTATGAAATGGCTCCATGGCCCCACTGCCCTCAGGGGTCAAGTCAGACCCCCACACCACCCGTCCCCTTGTACTGGAAACATAGCACATGTCCTGATTTTGGTTGCTTGGACACACTCTCTCCCTCCTCCCAGTCTTTGCTGAGCTGTCCCCTCTGCCAGGGGCGCATCCTCCCTCTTCCACATCTGCCCTCATCGGCTTTCTCCTGACTTCAGTTCATTCCTGTCTCAGCTTTAGACACCATTCCTCTGTTCTTCACCCAGGGTGGGGCATGACCACCTCTCCGGCCGTGACTCCATGCCCTTCTTATATCCAAGATAAATCCCTGTGTTTTGGAGCTGTGAATTCCTTCCCTGCCTCTCCACATCGGATCACAAGCTCCCTGAGGTGGCGAACGTGTGGCTCTTATTCACCCGTGTCCTCCAAACCTAGCACAGTGCTGATACACTGTAGGTGCTACCTAAGTATTGAATAAATGGGTAGAGAGAAAAGAGGCGGCAGGCACTGGGAGTACGGGGTGCCCCTAGAGACACCACAGCAGCTCAAATGCTGGGCTTCATCTCCAGGGACTGAGCCCCCGGGGATGCCTGTGTCCCCAGCACGAGGGGCGATCCAGCGAGGGAGAAGCTCCTGCAGGGAGAAGGACCCAGCCTGATATCTGCCCAGGGGCCTCAAGACTTAGTAACTTGGCTTGGCTGAACTTGGTTCTAGGCACCTACTGAGTGCCAAGACGTGGCTGTCCGGGGAAGCAGGCAGAAGGGCACAGCCTGGCCCCGCCTTCAGAGAGCTCCCTCAGTCAAACTGGGGCTGGGCATGTCCGAGTCCAGGGAAGAGGGAGGGTGGCGAGGCCTGGAGCCAGGAGCACAGTGAGGCTCCTGGAGAAGAGGGGGCCCCTGTAGCCCCTGGTGCCCCAACGCCCACGTCCTGGCCGTCTGAGAGGGAGAAACAGACGACAGCTAGGCTCAGGGCCCAGGCCTCGTCCCCACCCCCTCTCCTGAAACCGCCCTCTCTGTCCCCACCCCTGCCACCCCCAAGTCCCCTCCACCCTGCCGGCTCCCCTCTCCCCACGCTGCCACTGACACAATGCACAGCGCCCACGCTTAAAAATCTAAATGCTTTTGAAAATGTTTAACCTAGTTAGACAAATTAGCAAAAATTTGTGCAAAACAATTTAGGTATTTAAAATATTCAATGTTTTTAAAAAACTGGAAAACTGTTCTTAGCTTTCAGCTGCAAAAACCAACAAAATATAACATCCCAGCAATCTTACCATGAGGTGTAACATAACCCTTCGGGAAAGCTGTTAAACAGCTACTGAGGCATCCTGGGAAATAGCACTTCATTTATTCAAATGCACATATGTCAGGCTTTTGCACCATATGTCATTCCAAGCTATTTACAGTAATAATTAAATCTTAATCAACGTTTAACCTCTGTAAAATGTTTGAAGAATCCTAATCACCCTTCAGACTGCACTAATGAAGGAGAAATATATAAACATAAAAGGAAAATGATGCATAGATATCACGCTGGAAAGAACAGTAATTGCAAAATTGTATTTCTTTTAAATATAATCAGTAAATGATGTAAAGTAAGCCAAGGAGTATTTTAAGTTAAGACATCTTGGATGTCAGAGGTGTGAGCAGCTAATTTTGTTCTGCTACCCATAACAGATGTAGCATATTTTATTTTAGTGCCATTATTAGCAACTTCCCATGCCGGCTTTCACTGAAGCACTGAGGCCCACATTAAAATCAGAGAGGCTGCTCACCACCACCGTGGAGGACCACGGCCCAGGGCCACGGCCCGCTGTGCCCACTCCCTAGAGAGTGCCGGCCCAGGGGGGAGACCGAGGCCCCCCCCCCCGGCATCCCCAGGCTCTTCTGGGCTCCCCGCCATGATGAGGGCAGCAGGTAGAAGCAGGGGGAGCCAGGCAGTGGGAAGACTCCTGGGGGAGGTGGCTGAGGGACCAGGAGGGGCCTGGGGACAGAGCTGGCATTCTGGGCCTGCTCTCTCATTTCAGCTCAAGCTGCCTTCAATCAACAGATGTGTATGGCCTCCAACTCCATGCACCCGGGCTGGGCACACAGCGGCAAGACCAGCCCGTGCCCTTGAGGAGCTCGAAGTCTAGGGAGGAGTCAGACAGTGAAAGCAGATGGATTCCAGAGAGACAAGCAAAGCGCCATGGCAACTGGGGAGGGGCTGGGGGTTCCAATTTATTGATGAAGGAACAAGGAAGGAAGACTTCTCAGAAGAGGTGGGCCAGGAAGAAAATGGAGGATTTTGGCAGGAGAGAGCAGGCGAAGCCTTCTGGGTGAAGGGAGAAGTGTTAACTGGCCCCAGCATAGCCGGCTTGGGGTGGGGGGCAGGGGGAAAGTCAGGGACATGTTGGAAATGTAGCAGAAAATGAAGATGGGCTGGGACAGGTAGGGCCTTGTGGGCTACATGAATGTGTTAGCATATTACCCGAGGGCAATAGGGAGCCACAGAAAGAGCTTGAGCAGGGGTGGGCCACAAACGACCTTGAGCAGGGGTGGGCCGCAACCCAGACTCTTTTAGAAAGATCTCTCAGGGGACGGTGGGTGCGGAGGATGGACCAGACTACGGGTAAGCAAGGGTAGGGAGGTCCCCTGGGGAGCAGCTGTGGAAATCAGAGAGAGGTTAGGTCCTGCCCTATGATGCCACCAGTGGGGGCAGACGGCAGGATCCTTTCTGAAGATGAAACCCATCGGAGCTGATGACCAATTCCACGTGGGGGTGAGAGGGAGGTGTTGAGGATGACTGTGCGTCGGATGACTCCTAATTCTAGCTCAGGAGTTGGGGAGGCTGGTGACGCCATTCTGAGAGGCAGGGAACACGGAAGGGGGATGGGTCGGGGTGGGGGGCGGTAGGCTCAGGACAGCCGTGTTGAGCCTGGGGTGTCTGTGGGTCCCCCGGGTGGAGAGAGAGGCTCGGGTGGCAGACGGACACAGGGTTCTGGAGCTCTGGGCAGGAGAGAGAGACCGGGATATGCAAGCCCAGCAGGGCCTCCAGAGTGGAGGTGCTTGCCCAGGAGAGCAGATGGAGGGGAGGGTGCCAAGGCCCGGGGAACAGGCACCTCTGAGGGGCAGGTGAAGGGAAAAGCCCAAGAGGGCAGCCTTGTGGGACCAGACCGAGGGGCGGATACCACGCAGTCATGGGCACTCAGCTGAGAGTGGACCTGATGGAGGGCTGAGAGGTGTCGGGTTTGGCAACTGGGTTCTGGTGACTCTCCAGGGTCCATATCGTCCAACCCCCTCACCCACTGCTGATGCTGGGCCAGATCAACTGGCCATTTGTTGGAACCCCTCTGACTCTCTGGCCATGGCTGAGTGTTGGCCCAATGGCTAC